TAAAGCAAACATTCTGAAATGCAAAGTATGGAAATTTTTGTTTCGCTGTTTTAGTTTGCTGTCTGAATTTTCAAAATATTGTAAATTTAGATTTATAATGTGCAACTTTTGCGTTTTGATAACGATAAGGGTAATTGGCTTGCTGTTATGGAGTCACGCTATAATTTTTCGAAAGAGTCGAAAAATATGTTGTATCTAAGTGGAACTGATATTGAGGTGAAGTTTGGTGCCACAACTATTTGTATTTCTTTATATTTAAAGTTCTTGTATTATTTCTTTTTTAACTTTGTTGTGCATAATGAAATTTTATTCTCGTTTCTATTCTTATAGGAAACCGTTTTAGATCAAGGACAGGCACCGTAGATTGTATCTTAATATTTTTTTACCTCTTATTTTTGCTGCTGCTTTGCACTGGTTTCATTTTTACTAATTTTTATTCTTTTATTGCTGTTTTAACTATTTTTGCTGAAAGAATAGTGTTAAATCGTGGCTTTGTTTCAGATCGGTTCAAAGCTTCAAGCGTTCGTAACTTCAGCGTTTGATGGTGCTCATATCTTTGTCGAAATTAGTCCTGGTATTGCTGGTTGCATTGCAAAATGCAAGAAGTACATTAATTTCATATTAAAAAATTTTTCCTGTTTTTTTTTTTTAAATTCATCTAAAGCCAGGCTAAAAGTGAGCTTTTTTATTATATATGAAAATCCAGAAATAATCTGAAGTCGGAAATAAAGCGCTGATGAAATAATTTATTCAAAACTTATTTCTATAACAAAAGTATTTAACAATTTTCGTTGCATTAAAAGAAAAAGGGAAAGTTATTGAACAAGTAAAGCTATGAATGTTGTAGCTAAAGTGATTATTTGAGCAGATAATTACGAATAGCATGAATCTAAACATTGAGGTTTTTCAGGTTGTCGTTAAAACCCGATGATTTGGTCAGAGTTCGTGTTAATCATGTCTTTCCTGATGGTGGCTTGAACGTCGAATTTGTGGATTTAATTGCGCAAGGTTCTACAGAGAAAGTTTGTTTGTTTTTTTTTTTCAGTTTTATCGCGTTTTTTGTTTTTGTGTTTATATTTTAATAAATCATTTCTTTTTCCCGACTACCATTTCTGAAATTTTTCAACATTTTCCATTACTATAAATTATGAAATACTTTAAATACCAATATTTTAAAGAAACCACGGAAGAGGCTAATAAGTGTTGGATCTGGCTCTGATACTGCAATCGATTTACCGCGAAAGAAATCGAAAGCAGCTGGTTATGTGGCAGCACATTCGAAAGAGAACGAACCGCCTCAAGTTACTCCTATTGAAGCAAAAGTGGGAATTAGTTTTGAAAAGAAACTTCATAATTTTGGAATAATCATATCTGTTGGATATGGTAGAGCTCATTCTGACTTAAGCTTTGGCAGAAAAGTTTGTTAGCTTTCACAAATCTCTAATTGTTTTCCTTTTTTTTAAATTTCAGTTGCCCGAGCCAGGTTTAGACTGGTCTCTAAAGGGATTTACACCAGCTGAATTTGCATCAGTGGGACAAATTGGTGAAAAGATGGATGTTCCTGTTAGTGCTTTAATATCGAAAGATGAATCCACCGCTGATAATATTGGAGAACAAAGCAAGCCAAAAAGTACGGGAGTTTTAGAAAATAATTTTCTCATGTAACATAAAATACATATTAGATCTAACTCTAATTTTCATTGTTTGGAAAAGTTCAGTTTTTGAGCATATTTTAATGTTTTTTTTTGATGTTTTAATGCAGCTTCCATTTCTTTGCCAGTGAGAAAGCTGACTTATTTTTAGATAACACGAACTCGATAAGCACAAAAGTTTTCAGATTTTAAAATCTTGTTTTTTATAGTAAATGCAGAAATTTTTGGACTTAGAAATAATTAAATTACGTACGATTTGTTATAGCTGAAGTGGAGCTTCAAATAGAAGAGGAAAAGAAATTAATAAATCGTGAGCGAAAAATTCTCGAGACCGATTGGATCCCAGATAACACGAATGATTTTGATCGTTTAGTTGCTGGTACACCCAATTCTTCGATCTTGTGGATCCGGTATATTTGATTTTCTTACATTAAGCCTTCTAATATTTGTCTAAAAAAATGTTCGCCGGCTTCTGCAGTATACTGAAATCAAATTATTGCTTTATATTTTAATTTTTTAAAGAAATCCCCGGCATAAATTAATTCTTAATACTTTTTAGGTACATTACATTTTTTCTGGAACGAAATGATGTGGAAAAAGCAAGGGCAGTTGCAGAGCGAGCACTTTCAGTTATCAATTTCAGGTTAGTTCTTTGTATGAATAGTAATTCTGTAAGATAAAGCTATAATAAATATACAGAAATTCTAAAAAATACAGAAATTCTGATTTATATAATTCTCATAATATGTGAACATATAATTAGTTAATTCCATTTTGTTTTAGAGAAGAAGATGAGATTTTCAATGTTTGGACAGCATATCTAAATTTGGAGGGAAATTTCGGTACCAGCGAGTCGTTAAAGGCAGTTTTCGATAATGCTATCAAAAATACCGATTCTTTGAAAATGTATAAGCAAATGGTGAAAATATATCAAAATCTCGGAAAAATACAGGTGTGTTTGATTCGTATTGATAACAATTAATATCTCACTGGTGGCGCATGTTTAATAAAGACTTTAAAGGAACTATTATTGTATCTAAAAAGCAAAATCTTTCATTTTTTCTTCGAATTTTTTATATAGCCTTATTGTCTAAATAAGTAAGGACTTTCAAACAGAAATTATTGCAGGAAACGGATGATTTGCTAGATGACATATTGAAACGGTTTCGTCACGATGACTTGGATGTTTGGTTCATTTATGGCCAACATTTACTAGAAACAAAGCGCTCAGATGCGGCAAGAAATTTGATGAAGAAAGCGATCAATTGTTTAGCTCGCAAGCACCGTAGGTTTTATGATCATCTGAAAGAATTTTGGTTTACTGAAGCAAAGAAATGCAAAATTTTGTTTTATTTCTATTGCCGTAAGATCTTTCATAGCATTGAAAAATATTGATCAGTATTAATACCTTTGTGAACATATCATTATTGCACATCGTTGGTGCATATTATGTGAAAACATGATGTTTCAGTTTAACAATAGAATTAAGACTAAAAGTCGTAATAGTGAAGAAGTGGTTGTGAAAGATGGTATCATCAAATAATTAAAATTTTTTTCCTTAAACTTAATTCTAGATGTAACCATTTTGAGCCGTTTTGCGCAACTTGAATTCAAATTTGGTGATATAGAACAAAGTAAAACAATTTTTGAAAATATTTTAAATTCATATCCGAAGAAAACAGATGTCTGGACAGTTTATATTGATCTGCTCATCAAAGCTGAAAAAATTGAGGATGCAAGGTATTTTTTGTGCTAGTATTTTTTCTATAAATACAGCAATTCTTCCGAAGTAATTTACATCAACTTTGATATAAATACGAAAATGATTAAGCCTTAGTATTTCTTGTGATTTTTAAAAAAGATTGTTTCAGGCACCTACTTGAACGAGTCACTGCACTAAAGCTATCCACCCATAAAATTCGGTTGTTTTTTAAGAAATGGATCGATCTGGAGCAAAGGCATGGTGATGAGAAACAGCAAAATGATGTGTGTTTTTTATGAACATTACAAAAAAGAAAACAAAGTATTGAATGAATTAAAAACTGATATGGAAAAAATATAAATTAGAGTTTCATATTGAGAGATAGTTCGATGACGAAAACAATAAAACCAACATTTTAGGTTAAAAGTCATGAAACGCATTTTAATATTTCACAGTTCTTCAGTTTTTGAATTCATGTTTGTATCACAGTTATTCTGTTTTAAATATAAGCATATAAATGTAATAATTTATCAATTCATTTTCTATTTTTCAGGTTAAACAACGTGCACTGAATTACTTACAAGGTGTTACTGAACTTACCACTGAAACATAATATTTAATATCACCTGTTGCGCCAAATTTCACTTCATGCGGACCAGTGTCAATGTTTTTTTAAAGTTTTTGAATTCTTATATGTTTTCATTAGCAAGCGGGTACTTAAGCGGTTTTGCTGGATAATGAACTTCAGGAAATTTATGAATAGGAAGATTCATTTTTCACCGGCTTTACTCATTTGTTGTATATATATTCTGTTGTCGTCTACCAGTCATTGTTGTTACAATTCCATAAATGCAGTTGTTGACATCATTGTAATTTGTGATGTTGATTTTGTTGTTTTTGTTAGTCAGTTTGACATGAAATATTTTGAATAAATTGCTTATGTTATTTTCTTTCCACATGTATGTTGTTATTATTTGATGGATTATCCAGTTTCCTCCTGACTGTCACATTAGCATTTACTTTTCATTTGTTTGCAGAGTTTTTCATTCGTCATTAGGATAACTAATATAGTTTATAACTGTAACATTTAATTTGATCTTAAATGTTACTATGCTTTCGTGCAATTTAGTTTTGTAGCCACCAGTGAGCATCAGCGAAAGCCACCAGAGAATCTCCTTCAGTTATAACTGCTAAAGGTTAAGCTTCCAAATTTTTGTATTTCTGATCTGAAATTTTGATCAGAATCTTACTGCATTAAGTTTGTTAAATTAAAGAAGAATGACAGAATGCTATTTTTTAGTTTTTTTTTGCAATTTAAATTCCAGAGTCATTCCACTCGAATTTATGCAGTATTAAATACTTGTGGAAAGTCTAAATGAATACATATATTCAGCAACTGAAAGAGGAATATGAGAAACGTCTTCGTGGTAATATTTTCTAATCATTTATCTATCTATTAAGTAAGTACGAAAAAACATAATTAGCAGATAGTACTAAAAAGTGTTAATTGAAATTGGCGACAATGTAATGAAACATTTTTGGAACTATTGTTGAACAATGTTCGACAGAAAATGTTGAAATGTATTGATTTGTATCCACATTTTATTACGGACTAATTTATGTTTTAAGAAGTGTAGATATGAATCACAGAAAAGTTAGCTACCAAAAACCAAATTCAAAACTCTTTTGAATCCAATAGTGATTTTGAAATATTAGAGAGAGTAATTTTAAAATTTAAGAATATATACTAATCAGTTTGAAAAAAAAGTTCAGATTAATTTTTTGAAGTACTTTCGATTATTATTACGTTATTACAATGCAGAAAATACATAATTTCTTAATTTTTCAGTATCGGAGCGATCACTGCATGGTGAAAAAGAAAGGCGACGACAGCTTGGTTTTCATTGCAAACAACTCGAAGCACAGTTGCGTAAAGTTCAAAGAGACAATGAAAGTATGGGAAAGCAGTTAAAAATCTTAAAGAAATGCGCATCGTGCTCACATCTTGGTGATTTTTTTAACTTTGAAAGTTAAAAAAAATTTCTGATTACCGTAATTTTTCTATGACTTATTTCGAACTCGTTATTCAATTTCTTTATGGTTTATCACCACTTTTTCCTTTTGCACGTCACAAAGACGGATTTTCAGTTATAAAATCATCAAAATCATCCGTTCAAAATCTTAAATGGTTGAGAAATTACCAAAGGGAAGTTTAGCATGGAAATGTTACGAAATATAGGAAGAATTTTCCATTTTTTTAAAGTCAGGACTTACCTTCCCCTTAAACATTCTTGATTCTTGCTTTGCTAGGTATGGAATTTAGTAAAAATTTTATAATTAGTTTAAATCTGCCTACTATTCAATAAAGACAATTGAAAAAAAAATTGAAAAAAAGTATGGAGACAAAGAAACTGGAAGTAGAAAATATTATCTACTTTTCCCCAGTTTGTCACTTTGATTCTGTTGTTTAAAGGATCAGTTATTGGCCATTTTTGGCAGCTAAATAAATTACATCTTCATGAAAATTTTGCCTTTTTACGATAGCTGTCTTCAAAAAATTATGTAACAATAAATAGTTCGAAAAAAGAAAAAAAATAACTCCAAAAAAGATGATTTCGGGTATAAGAAATTGGTTCTTTCTTTTTTTTGGTGATTTTATTTTTGGGACGAAATCTTATGTGATGAAAATTTTGCAGAAATCAAAGTTTTCAAATTTATTTTACTCTAGATCAACGAAGTAAAAGTTACAATGCCTTAAATGAATTGTTACGTGGATCGGTGGCTGCTTTAGAACCAGATGCTGTTACATCAATTAGTGCTCCGAAGTACACTGACGAATTGAAAGCTGTAAAAATTGCAAATAGCAGTCTTCAACAATGTGTTGATAAATTACAGAATATGGTAAGAAGATAGCTTCTTGTCAGCTTTTATAACAGAGAAAACTTGAAGCCATTTTTTCTACGTTTACGTTTCGATTTCTACCTGAAGGGAATGGAGTTTCCAGCGTGATCAGTTTGTTCTGTGTTCCCATCATATGTGCATTTTTTTATCTCATTTTTTTTATAGCTGTTACAAAAAGGGCGTGAAGCTTTAGCCGCGGAGAAATATTATAATGAAGCAATTTCGGAACGTGAGCAGCAAATATCTCGACTTCAGAAAGAAGTTTTGGTTTTTCACTTACCTTTTTGTTATTTTTCTAATTTTAGAATGCACATGATCCATGTTGACATAAATCAAGCACGTTTTAAAGTAATTGTGAGGCTGTTTTTTCCGTGTTTATAGTTTCAATTATTTCAACCTCAATTCTTTGTCCAGTTTTGCTTATCTTATTGGAAAACTAGCAGTTGACTTTGACAATGAAATCTGTTTCTGTGCTGCTATCAGCTATCTTAATTATATATTAGCTTCAACTTTATTAATTATTCAAATACATAGCAGATAGGAAAATGTAAATTTGCCATATTCATTTATTGAGTAGTTGAATAAACTTTATAAACAGTAGTGATAGCATGGAAGTAACATTATATTTTATGCGTTTAATAATTCATTAATTTCGCAGAAAGATAAGTATTTCAGCTTCAAGAGCGATGGAGAGGAGCTTCTACACAATCGATTGTTAGTGTTAAACTGGGCTAAAATCTAGAAAGTTAAAAATTTTTGAAACAGTTTAAGGTTGCAGTCCATGAAGCATTTTACATTGTTATTAGGATGAACCGATCAGCGATATATTTTAGCATTGTCTGATGGAAAATTCATTCAATATGAAATGCTATCAGACAAAAATAGGCCACATCATTGGTTGATTCTCCTTAATAGGCTTAATTCTGCTCAATACGTGTGATAAAAAAATAAGAAATATTATTATACTTGAAAATTTTTTTCCTAGTAATGATGATTGGATAATCATCAAAGCAACCATTATTTGAAATTACGCTTGAGTCCAGAATTCATTTAAAGTATAATTGAATTTATAAATCGGCAATTTGAAAAATTTCAACATTGTGGAACTTTTGAGTATTTGTTACAGGCTGATCAGCACATAGCAACAAAACTGAAGGCATTGCTGGAGGTTGGCGTTGTTAAATTTCTTAATTTTCGCTCACGATTATGATGTTGAAAATTTTCGTGATTAATTTTGAGGTTCATTTGAATATGAAACTATAAATAAAAGGTTTGTGGATTTCTTTTTTTCCAGGAGCGCACTGAATTATTGGAACAAATAAATCGTTTAGAGAAAGAAAATAAAGAAAATTATATTATATATAATGAACCACAAAAGTGAGTTAATTCCAGTTCCTGTGATAATTGTAAATCTATTTCTGATTTAATTGGTTTTTATGCTTTCTATACTAAACAAAACAATAGTTCATTTGAATAGTAAATAGAGACTAATATTAGATGAGAGAAATCTGTTAGATATGGATTGTTACATCATTTCATTCTATAGCATTGGATATCCGGCAACTACTCCACAAATCTTTGAAGCCGATGTTAATCCATATTGTGGGCATTGTCGAAATCAAGTGAAAAATTGGAACAGAATGTTAATTTTTTTTTCATTATTAGGGATATAAAATATTGTTCTCCTACTGAACTGTTTGGAGAGAAGGCTTTTCTATTTTTTTACATGTATGTCTTTTATTATTTGTATGTACGATTTATTTAGAAGTATTAAGTCCATAAATAGCTTCTATTGATTGTATAATTTGCGTCTACAATTTCATTCCAGGATAAATGAGAAGGAAATGAATTTCACCGGTTTTGAAAATACAGATCGGAATGATTCAAGCTGGTTGAAGCAAAAAATAACGGCTGAGGAGAAGATTCGCGTATGCTCTATATTTATTAATGAATTCAACTGAAAAAGATTTATTGTTACTGCTTAAAAATGGCCCTGCTAGTCCTAATACGTTTTGCACATTTTAATGACATTCTGAGCTATTCATTTTTCATATTTATATGGTTAATAGTATATATTTTTTGTTTAAAATTTAATTATTTTTATTGGATTTGGGATACAACTTTTTAACAGAAATAGTAATATTATTATTTTAGTTATGTTACTTATGTTATGGCTCAGTGCATTTTTTATTTGATTAAAACGGTTTATTATTATTTTTTTTAGCAGCTTTCGCTTGCTTTGGAAATGGAAAAAGAGAGAAATAGGGAGATGGAAAGTGCGCTAAAGAACGAAAATATTAATGTATGGTTTAGTTCCTTGGTTGTCTGCCAAATTTTATTTCTATAAAATTCTCTTTTTTATTTTTTATTTCAATAGTATTTAAAATAAAATTGGTCAGCAATATGGTTTTCTTAATTTTATATGGGAAATAAAAAATTCTTCAATTTTAGCTATCGAGCAGTTATCAGAAATTACTTCAGAAATATGAATCTTTAGAAACGGAACTGGGCAAAAGACGAATCGCTGAAACGAGTACTAAAAATAAAACAAGGTAAATTTAATATTTTAAAGAGATTTAAAGAGAAAGTGTAGAAATATATGGTTATAGTAATGCCTGAAGTATTACTTTTTTCCATTTGCATCTATAGCGGAGCCTAAAATCTCCGTTAGATAAGCCATAACTCGGTATCGATTAACTTTAATCTAGAGTATTTTAAGAAAAGTATCACGTACAACATTTCCATAATATGCCTACTTTTCTATTTTTTGATTAATTTTAGTTTACTTTTTTGAATAGAATAATAATTATGTATTAAATACAGTCCGAATGGGCAAATTACTTCCAATGTCGATGTCCGCTTAATATCTCAGCTGAACGACGAGCTTGGTTTGCTTTCTCTTTCACTTAATTTCTGAACACAATACGTAGAATCAATCAAAATATAAAAAATTAATTGTGAAGACATAATTTTTATGAATTATTAAAATTAAAAATAATTTTACATCATATGTTTATATGAAGGTAGTTCATAAAACCACATTTTAAAATGTTTTAAAAAAATTCCTATTGATAAAATTTGCATATGTCAAACTTCACTTTTACATTTGATTTGTTTGAATTTCTTTCTATAATTCTAAATTGTCACCACTTTTTCTCTGAATTTTTTCCCCGAGGAAATGAAAAAATTTTTCCATTTTTGAAAATTACGTTTCCAAAAAAGATTTCTCTTTCTCATCCTTGATTTGACAGTCGATTTTTCTATTTGTTGCTAACTGTTTCATATTTAGATAAAGCAAATAAAAAGATGACATGTCTTGAAAAAGAGCTGAGTCTTGCAAAGCGCATCATTTACGAAAATGAGCAGTTTGCTGTCGCGGCTCCTCGACGAATTGAAATGCTCGAAAAGGATAAAAAGTTTAACAGTTGTTTTTATTTTTCTTAATGTTAACATTCCTTATCAACGCTTTTGAATTTTGTATTCATTTGAGTTTGATTTTACTGGTTAGATAGTTTTAGTGTCTTTTTTTAAAAATTTTTTTGAACAATATTTTTTTTATTTACAGAGAATTAACGCGTATAATCGACAATCAAACAGAAAGATTAACTCATTTCGATGATCGGTTAAGAGTGATAAATAGGGAAAAAGAAGCACTACAACGAAAATATACTGAACTAGAACGTGCCAACAGCTTAACTGTCCGAGAGAAATTGGAACAATTAGAAATTATTGAAGTTTGTTTTATTCACTATATTTTTGCATATTTCGAGATTTTCAACCACATCACCTTAGTCTTTATGTTCTTTTAAACTTCAACACTTCTGAATTTTTCTTTTGTTTTAAAGAGACAACGTAAAGAATTATCTCGCTTGGAGGAAAAGCAGATTGAGAAAAACAAAGCACACGATGCGCAAATTGAAGCATACCATCAGCTCATCAAACAAAAGGTTACATTCTAATCGAATTTTGAAAATTTTCTAAAATGTTAAAAATGTTTCTCTTTTTTAAAGTTTTACTCGGAATTTTGCAGGATGATGAGCGCGGAGCACTAATTGCAGAACTTTGTGCTGCTAGTCGCTTGGGAACCCCTGTTCATAATTCAATTAATGAAATTGAGAATCGTTGTGGTAAATATTTCGAAAATTTGCTCTTACTATACAAACTCTTATCTTCCCGTATTTGAATTTTAAAACTTAATGTTTTGAGTTTGGTAGATTTGCCAAAAAACTGAGGTTCTTATCATTCTTTTATAATGAAAATTTATTCTAATCCAAATTGCGAGACAACCTAATTGATGAAAGTGTTTCATTTCGACATGAATTGATCAAACAGTTAGATAATATTGTAATATTCTGCAGTGTCCTCTACATACTCATTTAATATTTCCGTAGGTTGTATTCCGAAAATTTGGAAGTCTTCTATGGAAGATCCATGACCAAATAATGAAATCTTTATGCAAATGTGAAATGTTTATGTTTATAGGCGATTATTCAAAATTTTCATTCGGGTTTCTTTTTCTAGCTGCAATTGATGAAAATCGTGAGCTGTTGAAGGAAGTGCGTGAGTTAAACCACGAAAGACAAGCGGTAAATGTTTTTTCTTTAGTTTCCAGTTCAGTGAAAAAGGTTTCGTCATTTTTTTTCATTCAAGTGTCCTACTTTATTTACTAAATATTGAATTAATTTTCGGTTTTTTCTTGAATCTTGTAGGACTTGAAATCATATCTTTACTTGTTATGATTTGGAAGAGATTTCCAGATGCTTGATAAAGTTACTCGCCTAGAAAGTGAACTTCAATCAGTGAAAGATCAATTAAGGCTAAAAACAGATGAAGTCGAGAAAGAAGTTTTGCTGAGGAACTCAATGCATGATGACCTTGCTAACGCGCGAACCATGGTGAGGTTAACATACATACTTTGATGATTTTCAATGTTTTGAATATTTGTTGCCAAGATTTTTTCAATTATCACTCAGTTTGTATTCTGAGAAGTGGACTGCTCCAAGAAGAAAAATAACAATAAGCAATAACATTTTTTTAGTTGTTAGAGAGGGAAACACAAATACTCGATTTGAATAATGAGCTGAAAGTTGCCGAAGTGAAAATAATGAAGGTATAAATTTTTCTAGCAGTATCGATTTTATAATAACTGACATTCCCGGATTAATGTAACGACCTATATCATTGTTTATACCATTACGAATGATTTGAATTGTTGCTGTTACAAAGGCATGTGTTGTCTCTACTCTAATCTTTAATTCATGCTGTGCTATTATTCAATTTTTTTTTCTATCTTTCTAGCTTTCTATCTTTCCATTCTTTTGAGAGTTCAGATTGAATAATGAGAGAATGAATTTTGCCTTTTAGATGTAGAGCATTATTTGTGAGCTAAAGGACTAATTATTACTAAGAGAGTCGATAGCTTCAATATAATTAAAATGTTTATGAATGGCGATATAACTTTATTAGTACAAAAATAATGTTTCTTTATCAAGCAATGAGAGTTATGGATCATATTTTTTAGCTTTGAAAACATAATCTGCAGAATGCATCTTTACAGCTAGAAACAGAACTTGCCAATTCAGCAGATCGTTTGCAAGTAGAACAAATCACTGGAAGTTCACTAAAAATAACTGTTGAAGAATTAGAAGATTTATTGCAAGAGAAAAATGCAGAGCTTATTACGGCTGCACAACAACAGCAACGATGTACTACTGAAATGCAGAAAACGAAAGAATTAAAATATGACTTGGAAACTAAACTGTAAGTTTTCCACCTATAATTTTGTTTTTGGTCAAAATTTAGCCTTTTTTTACTATTTTTTCCTTGACTTTGCATAGGTACTAATATATATATGGAAAGAGTAACAGTGATGAAGACCGGAGTCCAAAATCAAAACAGGAAAGAGAACAGTTAGGAGCAATGAATTATATAAATTTATACTAAGAGTGATACAATTATTCGGGAAAGATTCAGATTACGAGTACTTTACGCTTCGGAATAAAGGATGAAAGGTTATTTTGAGCGAAGATGAATTGTATATTGAAAAATTTGTCGAATCTCTAATTAATTTTAATTTGAATTTCTTCATTTGAGAAACGGTATTGTATATTGAGAGAAGAGTGTATTGAAAAGATATCTAACAACATCTTTATTATCGTAAAAAAGATTATCGAAGTGTTTGCCTTCTCTCGAAGCCTTATCAAATTATGAAGCATTTATGTTAAGAAAATTTTCTTTTAAAAATCAAGTATGTACTGTTACACTGATTTTGATAGCATAAAAAACTTGGCAATGGTTTTTTTCTTTCTATCTGTAAATCGTTTAAAAAGTATTTGCACCTTTTGGTTATTCTTTTCATTGCTATTTGCTTATATTGGAAAAAAAATTGATAGCTGTTTGAATGCTTTAAGAAAAAAAAATTGATAGCTGTTTGAAAACCCCCGATGACATTTCACGTAACTGTTATTTACAGGCAGAATTTATCTTAAATATATAAATTCCTTGATGATTAATAGCAAACCCAATGAATAATGCTAAGGTAACATCTGCCCAAAAAAGTGATTTCTCTCACGATAAGTTATCGGTGATTTGTTGTATTCTTCATGGGAAATCTAGAAAATGTTGCCTAAAAATAAAGGGTGTAATAGATTTGCGAAATATCGAATGTAAGCAACAATTAAAGATTAGAAAGTTAAGAATTTATATTTCATAAATACGGCAAAAAGATTCAAGTTTTCACGTAAAATTAGAATGAAATTTATCATTTTCATTTAGCCTAAGTGAGTTTATGGTGTTTAGTCAAATTAATAGGGAACATTGTTGTAGTAATACAAAATGGAATACAGATATTAGGAGCAGGTGCATTTTGTGACAGTTGATGATTTTCATTCGTTTTCTTCTGAAATTCGAACATTTGATGACTGATTTAATAAACTGATCAAACATAATTTCCATCATATGTATACAATATTTTGTAGTACTTTACAAGGACGAGAACTAAAAGAGGCACGAGAAAAACTAGCTGTTCTCAGGAAGAAAATACGGGAACTTGAGCTAGAAGCTGTGAATTCATCAAATAAGTAAGATTTATCATTACCAAACATGAATGAATGAGAAATTTTAATGAAACCACTGAAAAGCATTAAAAACATCATGCTATTGAAAGTCCATTAAAAATGTTTTCCTTTCTTGTGAGATATATGTTGAATCATTGCTTATTTGTTAATGCTTCTATATGAAATTTTGATCTAAACATTTCTTCTCCTGATCCTTTTCAGAAGCCTTCATGAAGCAGCGACACAGCAAGAAAGTCCGAAATTAAATACAATAGCAACGACAGTGACGAAATCTGCCATTTCTAATACAACTCCATTGAATTCTTAGACTAATATCACATAATTTCTCTTCCTATTAGTTTATGCTAACATATATCAACCTATATCCATCCTACACATCTCAATAATCATTACTTATTGAAGTGCTAATTTGATTGTTTGCATTACTCATGTTATTCAAAGTGCGAGCATGTATACCTTACATTCCTCTCGTGCGATATAAGCTAGTTTATACATGCTAATGTTTTCACATATATCATCACTTGTCAACTGAAGAGAAATGAACCAATTATGAACTAATTTGTTGATTACTATCTATTTCACTGCTTATTTGTATATTGATAACCATGTTTGTCAAAATGTGTGATCAGCTATTTTAAAATGATAATTATTACAATCTGAAATAGTGAAATATCAGCTTGCCCATACTACTACACTTATACATTTATCATTTGCACATACAATTGTTATATCTATTTACAATACCTCATGAATACAATTCATATATAAGCTGTTCCATTTTTTTACAACATGCATCTGTGAACAATGTATTGATAAAAGTAACGATATTACCAGCTATATGTCCATATCGAATACGAATTAATAACAATTCCTTAATTATTCTCATCCTCTTAATTAGAATTTTCAATAAAACCTAATAACTGACCATTATCTATACTTACCGTACCATTTGAACAGCTTACCCTAAAGCTGCTCAAATGGTATGCATGCCGCTCGCGTCTGCGTTAAGTGACACGTCGTCGTGACAGCAAGAAGATGAAATTATAGACAGAGAATAGTGGAAGAGAAAGAGGGTGAGAGAGGAAAGGGATGACCCGATTTCTTTTTACTTCTAATAGCTTACACTATTTTCATGTAATTTCGACACGTCTTCCTCTGTCCCATCATTCTCGTACATTCTCTTGTATGCATGCTTCTTACTCTCTTTCTTTCCTCTTCCCCAGTATTATATTTCATTCAATTCTTCATTGTGTCTAACTTGTCATATCAATTGATCAATCAACTTTTTCACATATTTCAGGCTTTTCTACCAGTAGTAGATGGCTGGTATTAGTGATGCGTAGGAAGGCAGGGGAGCGGGGAGATGGATGGAAGGCACGGTGAATTAATATGGTTGGGGTTTTGTATACAATGCGTAAATTTAATTATTAAAACTTGAATTTTGATTATTTTCAGCTTACTCTCTACATCTTTTATTTTCAAGCTCATTTCTATGTAATTGATAACAATTTATGTGAGTAATGAATGTGTATGTGTATGTGTGTGTGTGTGTGTGTGTGTGT